CTTGGGGCTGTTTGGGTCAACGGCCTGGGGTTGGGGTTGCCGCTAATGCCCCCAGTTTAGGGCAATGCTGGCAAACGTGCCATTAAGAGTAGTAGTAGTAGTAGTAGTAGTAGTAGTAGTAGTAGTACTAGTAGCTAGTAGTAGTTAGTAGTAGTAGTAGTAGTAGTAGTAGTAGTAGTAGTAATAATAATAGTAAAGTAGCAGTAGCAGTAGCAGTAGCAGTAGTGGTAGTAGTGCTAGAAGTGGTAGTAGCAGTCGTCTCGTCGTAGCGGTAGTAATAGCTGCTCTGCAGCTTCTGGGCCTCGATCGAGCAGGCGACCGCGTGGTCCCACTCCTCGCTCTCGAGCGCCTCTGGCAGAAACGGTTAGGTCTTTTTTTTTGTCACCTCTTTTCCACCTGCCTGGTTAGTTAGGTCGAATGCCACTTTGGCTGAGGCTGTTGCTTGCTGCTACGATCCCCACAGTTTAGGGTTTAGGGTTCAGGGTCCAGCAGCAATAATGTCCGACAACATCCCAACAAGATATTATGGACTTGTCGTGGCTCGCCGTGATGCCTCCTCCTCTTGACAGTGCCCTTCAACACCCAGCCAGCCCACGGGCTGTTGTCATCCAAGGCTCCGTTACCCAGATCAACATGGATTTTGACTCATATCATGCTTGAGTGTGCACCTATAGTCTCCATTGTAGTTCCTTTTTGGGGATACCTTATAAAATCCTTAATATATATTGGTTAAACCAAAAAAAGGGAACTACAATGGAGACTATAGGCAGCCCCTGAGCATGCCCTGCCTCGCAGCCGGTAAGGTTTGCAAAGCCGTTCAGGTGCCTGCTGACCATGGACCTGTGTCTGGGTCGCTTTAGCAGGTGACCGTGCACCAATTTCAGCAGATTAGCTGGCATCGAGGTTTCAGTAGATACGGCTCCAGGCGGTGCGAGTCAAGTTCGTCGATCGATTGGTTTGGACCCGTGAGGTATTTCTAACTGTTCCGTTTCGAAACGAACATAGAGCCAGCGGTGAAGGCGTTTTGGCGAGGATTTCAAGATGAAGCCGCATTCGGGAACCCATAACAACACCAACAACGCAAAAACTTGATCCCAGAACCCCTCCTGCACAGTCTCTTTACAGGTCTGCCAGTCTTCGTCTTGTGGAGATGATACAGTGAAATACAACCGTCGGCCGTGACACATTGAAACATTAACTTTGGAGCAGGTCACGTCGCACATGAAACATAGCTAGCACAGTTTCTTCCAAGGTAAGCAAAGCAAAACCCGTAGAAACATGCGCAATACTCTGCGCAATCAACAATTAATTAGAGCTTCTCCTCCTCCTCGTCTTGGCCCCACTCCCACTTACTCAACAAAGCTCGCGTAGAGGCACCCGGGCAGGAATCATCTGGGGAGTTAGGAGCTTTCCTCTTTCGCGTGGTGTTCAGCATGTCAGGCTGGGTCTCGGATAGCAGGCAGCGCGGGCAAAGGCCTTTTGTCGAAGCCACATCCAGAGATGCTCCGCGCTCGATAAGCATGCGAGTGACATCCTTGTGTCCATTTCTGATGGAATAGAAGATAGTGGTTTCGTTTATATCATCCGGGAAGTTGGGCCCGAACCCCAGGTTCAGCAGAGGCTTGCACCTCTTCGCCTCTCAGAAATCGCCATCTCTTACTTTGAAAAATACTCGATGTCAATTCGCCGACCTCATGTCCAGTGTGAACCTGTCTTGAGCCCGAGCTGGGATTGGACTCTGCCTGATCTTCTGAGAGAAGTATATTCTGTGCAAATCAAAAAAGCTGTCCGCAGCCTCCCCGCCCTCCCCATGCTTCCTAATTCATAAGGAACCTTAGGGGTGTAAGGGCCAAGGAGTTAGGGGACTTTGCTTTCCTTAAGCAGGCTTTACTAGACCCTTCTTGGGCCCTCATTATTTTTAGTCACTATTCCAATTACCATGATTACTTTTCTTATCATGATGCAGTCTACTGGTACAGTACTGCTCAGAGCCGACCTGTAACCGCCCAGGGAGTCGTCTTGCGAGAGGAACATGGGCTGCACGTAGCCCAGGTCCACCTATCACGTCTGCGTGGAATGTTTGAGGTTAAGGAGTGGCAGGGTTTAGGAACATGGAAGCACAGAACATGTTTGCTACGTACTACTTGTTTAGCCTTCTGGACCAGGACCCCAGCCCTCATGAAGTTTATAGTTTTTGCTTGGAGCGCACCGTGCTGATTCCGAAGCCGATCTTCTTGTCACCGGCGTGAACCTCGGCAGCCAGAGAAAGCTTGCGGGGCCAGTGGACTGGGAGCTCTGTGATCTGACTGCCCCTCCTGGCCTTCGTGAGGTTCACCGCTGAGAGCAGGTACTGCACATTGCACGGGCCACCTGCGGGTGCTTCGAACGGGATCTGCCGCTACTCTGCACTCGCGACAGGGGGGGGAGGGCATCCAAAGGAAAGCTGTGCACCCTGCTTCCAAGGACTGTAACACAAGGACACCATGCTGCCGTGCGCTCAGCCTGTGTGGACAGTCAGTAGCCGACAGCTTCGGCTGCCAGCCGGAGCTGATCGAGCGGATCCTCTTCGTCCCCTCGAGTACGAAGCTCGGAACCCCAATCCTCCCAACTTTCGGAGCTGAGATGTGAAGAAAGCACACTCTGAACTCTGAGTTGCCTGCGCCACCCAGGCCGCAGTGTTGGGCCGCACAGATCGCACCGCATCCGAGCCCTCCGCCCGCGAAGGTGGTGTTCGTGATACGGAAGGTGAACCTCGTAAACTCTGGGTGCACGGGGGGGGGGGGGAAGGGGGGTAGCAGAAATTGTGTATCCCGGGTCATGCGAATACTGTAGGCATTTTGAGGCCTCTGCTACTGCGTGCTGAAAGTCAGCCGAAGGGTCAATCAGTGTGCAGCGTCAACAGTGACTCTATTTACAGAGATGGATCTCCAGATTTCATCGACGGCGATCCACATAATGCAATATGCGTGGTATGCATGCCTGTATGCGTGTATGCATGATTTCTACGAACAATGAAAAAGCATGTAAATAACTGTTAGCTACGTGCGACGCATCGAGCCTAGAGTTGTGACTGATGCGATGATGACGATGATGGCGACGACTCATGATGGTGATGGAGGTAGCTCTTACCTGTGCTTCGATATGCGATGGAGCAGGAACCAGCAATCTTCCGTATGGTCCAGGCTGGCTGGCCGAAGAAGAAATTGAGACCCTCTTCCACTGCAGGTATGTCGCGGGCCCGCCGGACCTGCAATCAGGGCGATCTTGATGATGGTTCTGTCCTTAATCCCGACAAGTGTGAGTCACCCGTTGAGAAAACTTGCGCTAGTAGTAGTTGTAGTAGTAGTGGTAGTAGTAGTAGTAGTAGTAGTAGCAGCAGTAGTAGTAGTAGTAGCAGTCGAAACACACTTGCGTCTGGAAGTCACAACAATCCCCGAGCTGAGGCCATGGCCTTCGGATCGCTGAGGAACAAGGAGTCCCGGATGTGATGGGTCTGGCCTGGTCGGTTCGTCGTATCATCCAGTATGAGAACTTCGGTGGACTATGAAACTGCGACTACTGCACGAGTGGGGAAAAGGGAGTATAGTTTCGGCGGAACTTTCGATTGGGGCAGTCCGTCCCGTGCTATTAGATGTTGGTCTCCACGGTCGCTGCAAGCTGGTGTGGGCTAGTGCGTTTCAGTACCAACCCCGGAACCCTCTGAGCTGCACACAATCACAAAGAGTAGATGCAGCCCTATAAATAAGAGTGGATGTAACCTAGGACCCAAGGTGTTCAAACCATATCGCTTTGTCTTACTATTGGATATGTGTATCAAACAACCCAGAACCCTATTCCGATGACAAAGACCCCTTCTCCAATACACACACAAGGTGGACTTCTAAGAGGTGTGGAGGTACATGGCAATGGAGTATGCACGGACGACACGAGTACTCCAGCTTTCTGTCCTAGCCGCATCAGGTTCCATTGTCTCCAAACCTGCCTGCCCCATCAAAGTGAACAAATGGATCTATCCGGATGCGCTAATGAGGGTAATGATATTGATCCACATGTGGAAAGGCTTTCGAGCTCGCTGTGCATGCTCCAGGCGAGGACATTCGGTTGCCTCGGCGAAGATCCTGGATTTATTTTCTGGGTCCACCAAAACTGCTCCAAATTCGGGAACCCCAAGACGATCCGGAACCTAAACCCCAGAACCTAGAAGCCGGCAATCGTAGCTGAGTCCAAGATGCCATCGGCAAAGTTCTTCGACTCCTTCCTCGGTTAGGCTTTCTCATTTTGCAGCCCTACGGCGCTGTCGCATTTTTGGGCTTGTGATCCTGGAGCGGAGGTTTCATGACCATCAGCGGCATTATCATCTGCATTGCTGGCCATGACAATTTGGATCACAATCAGAACCGTTTAACAATTACCGCATCGCCACCATCCACTTCGCAAACAAAGCCAACCATCGTGTCCGCCATCGTCATCACAATCATCATCTTCTTCTTCATCATCCTCATCATCCTCATCCTTATGACACTCCATCATTGTAGTAACCTTGGCTGTCGATTTCGTCGCTCTCGCCTTTTTCGTCGGTCGTGGCGGTCTCGGTTGCTGAGGCTGTTGCAGGGGGGCGGCAGTGGTAATGGCGGTTGAGGCAGTGGCAGTTTAAGTGGTGTGATGTGGTAGTGTTGCTGTTGCCAACGAGTTGTACTTGTTCTTCTTACCTTCTTCCCATATTTGAACATCTTAACCCTACTCTTTAGCTGTTCTCTTATATATGCCTCCTCCCCAACTTCAACAACTTCTGACAAGGTTTCCAGTACAGGTCGTGCGCGTTGTTGACGCTCACAAAACGCAGGAAGGCGATGTCACCCATGGAATACCTTCCAGCGGCAAAACAGTCCGAGATTTCGCCTAGTTGACTCGGAGGAAGAACTTCAAGTCGAAGTCGCTTCTGACGTCTTGCAGACAGCCCAAAGTACAGTAAGCAGGTTTGAGGGACTGGTGGGAAGGCTCCAGGCACTTGTTCAATCCTGGGGCTCGATATATCCCGCATCTGCGGTGTGCCCTTGCAACCTTCGTAGATCCACCCTTCTTGATGGAGCAGCAACACCAGGTCCATTTGTGGCAAGCAGCTGGCCGACGAAGTCGTTGTGCCAGTCAAACCTTCGCTGCCGGAACTCGGAGCAATGCCACGGCACGTTCATCCAAGTCGCCGCAGACAACACAAACGGCGCACGCCTGGTACCATGTAGAGACGATGACCACCATTACCAGCACCAGCACCGGCAGCATCATCACCGTCGTCATTGTCATCGTCATCGTCATCATTATTATTTTCTTCTTGACCATCATAATCATCATCCTCGCCCACCTCATCCCCACCTTTTCTAGATCATCATCAGCAGCAGCATCATCATCATCATCATCGGCCTCATTATCCACATCCTCCCCGCGACGACGACGACGACACCAGCACCAAAACCACCGCGACCACCACCACCAGCACCACCACCACCAGCAGCAACAACAACAACAACAAGAAGAAGAAGCACAATTACAAATATAAATACAGATGATACAAAAACAACCACAACCACAACGACAACCACAACAATCACGCCAACAACAACAACAACAACAACAAGCAACAACAACAACAACAACAACAACAACCACAACCACAACCACAACAACCACAACGACAACCACAACGACAACGACAACAATCACGACCACAACCACCACAACAACCAACAACAACAACAACAACAACAGCAACAGCAACAGCAACAGCAACAACAACAACAACAACGACGACGACGACGACGACGACAGCAACAACAACAACAACAACCACAACAACCACAACCACAACAAACACAACCACAACGACAGCGACAACGACAACAACGACAACAACGACAACAGCAAAAACAACAACAGCAGCATGGTCACCGTCACCGTAGCCGTCATCACCTGAGCATCATAGCAGGGACACTCAGATCTTCGGAAGCATACTTTAGGTGATGCACACAAGGGATGTTACATACAGTTCACAACGGGCAAAATGTCATGCAGACGTCGTTTACGAAATGATGTGGTAGACTGTTCGTGTGAACAGGCGCATGCAAGTTGCAAACGTCTATATTTACATCTACATATATATATATACACATACATAAACCCTATGTAAACATCTTCTGCATGCCCGAATGTACGCACATCATCATCTTATGCATCACTGCATGCAACAAGAAAGGGCAGACAAAATTTGCTGGTTTGAATCAAATCCATAATTGTCTTGACAATAAAACAAGGTTTAGAGGTATGCTATCCTTTCCAGAATGTCCACGACCACAGGCAGCTTAGGTGCTGGTCTTCGATGACATTGGCCGGGGTCACTCCGTTGTCGCGGCCATCCGCGGTAAACTCGCCGCAGGTGCCCATATCTGCGACGAAGCCATTCCTGGCTTCTGGAAGCGGCTTTGTGGGGTTAGTGTAAGGCCCCACCAGTCACATAAACATAGGGGTCAAGCATTCAGGGCACATTAAGGGCCCTTGTGTTGGATGTTTAGCACCTGCTGTCGTGTCAGAGTGATTCGCTCCGGATAAGGCTCTGAACTCAGGCAACCGTTGTGGGGAGGCTTGGAGAATCGTTCTGACAAAAGGTTGGGGGCGAATAGGAGCCCGGCGGAAGCTCCTGGAACGTTGAAGTCTCTTCCGTACCCTGCTCGTGTCCCATGTGCGAAAATGGAGCTATGGATGCACATAGTTGCTAGTTGTGTGTTTGTTTGCTTGTTCTTGTTTGTCTGCATGTACATGATGTATTTATGTATGTGTATAGATATACGTGTTATATGTAAATATATGTGTATATATATATATACAGATGTACATGTGTATATACATATGCAAATACGAATAGTGTTATTTGTGCATGCATGTTTATGTTCTATGTATGCATGAAAGTATGATGAAGGTATGAATGTACGCATGTGCGTATGGTGCATATATGTGTGTACGTGTCTATGCAATCGCGTCTGTATATACATATGCACAATTAGATATAGATATAGATGCATGCATATACGGACATACCACATGCATACATACAAGCAGACAAGCATATATACAAAGATACATACACGAGTTTATCCCTAGGTGCTTGCATGCATGCATGCATACAAACATACATGCATGAATTCACATATAAATGTACATGCGGACAGAAGCGCTTGCATATGCTTTTGGGGTCAGATGTCTATGTACACCTTATACGTTGCACATCTGCATGTGGTGCTGCATTGCCTTGCGTTGTGATGCTCTATGTTATGTTATACCATCTCATATCATCTTAACGCATCAAGCACTGCACTATTTAGTACGATCTAGCAATCTTGATTTAAATGATTCGCATCATCCCATACTCTACCCTATTACGTTATGTTACATTAAACTGCGTTGTAACATACCATGCCTGTTGTCACATGATGCTATGCTATAGTGCATTCAACCAAACTACAATCTATGCATACACATACAGGTCTTATTCGTATGTTTCGATGTTCCTTTCCTGCGTACGTTTTTATCTATCTTCTCATTGCTTTCTCTGCTGTTCTATTTGTTTACCCCAGTTACAGAAATGATACCAATGCGCACCGGGGTTCCCGTCCCTCTCGAGGTTTCGAGGCCGTTGGTTGTCGAGATAGATCCTGCAGGTTCCCATGGATGCGCTGCGCTGGGGTTCATGGTCTACCTATAGTCTCCATTGGAGTTCCTTTTTTTGGTTCACCAATTTTATGGTTAGGATCCTAGAATATAAGTTTGGTTAACCAAAGAAAGGAACTACAATGGAGACTATACGTAGGGCGTGTCTCAGGACACAGAATGTGCAGCCAACGCGGTCGACATACACACACGTTCTACAGGTTGTAAGATCGAGATAGGTCCTCATACGCTTGTATGTATCATGTACCACTAAGCCACTATGTGCACCATTGCAAGTGCTTGTGCATCGCTGTAGGCTTGTTCATAGAGCGTGGCGACCTAATGGGATCAGTATCCTCACCCCACTGTAGCTTGCTTCATCTTGTCCTGGCTCTACTCTGAGACCAAGTCCCTAGGCCCAAAAGCTGCTGAAGCCAAAGGGTTTTGCAGAGCCCCCTGGGTCCCTAAAAATAGGCTCGACCTGCACTACTACGGCTCCAATAAAGCACATAAGCAACAATTAGGACAAGGACATCCCATATAAACTCCCCTTATCATGAAGCTTAATGAGGTAGGGCTATCCCTATAAAATGCTTATGCTTATGTCCTTTCTGGGGTCCCTAAACTACACCTTTCAGGTCTCGCGGGCCTGGTTGGGGTACGGGTCCCGCCTTACAGGCAGCTAGTAAACTAAAGGGAGAAGTCCATGAAAGCATAGGGTTTACTTAAAGGATCATGGGACTTAGTAAGTAGGGTTATAATTAAGGTAACTATACTTATAACCCCAATTAAAGGACTTATAACCTTAGTTACTAAGTCCCATGATCCTCCAAGTAGGGTTTCGGGTTTAGGGTTTAGATTTTGAACAGGGGTGGGCTCTTGGGGCTTCCGGGCTTGCGCTTCAGAAGCCCAGGCAGGGAAGAAGTGCCAGTCCCGAAGCGGTTGTTGTCGTGGCAAACCTGGGCTTAGGGTTCTTTTGCTCAGGGAAGCGGGACAGCGTTTAGGGTTTATCTCGAACTTGCTGCAGCCTCCTTCAACTCTGTCTGCCCTCCGGCAGGGTGGTCCAGTGCGCACT